ATAGCGCGTCCACATTAGAGGAGCCTGCCTCGGACTAATTTTGAGACTTCCCTGTAGTGTGGACGCTCTATTTCAAAATAAGCTTTTCCGGAAGATATCTTCTGGAAAAGCTTATTTCGAAATACGTTTGCCGTGTTGCCATACTCTAAGTGTCCAATTTATATCATGAACTCACACGGGGCAGTGACATTCTAATGGAAAATTTGTAGAGTCCTAAGGATATTGGTTGTCAGAACCTAGATTAACACTGAAGTGGCCCTCAAATGAGAAGGAGAAAGACACTCCAATATTCCCCTCTTAGCACCTAGGGGGCCCTGAGCCTAGTCGATTTTGTACACTGCTGGGGGAGGAGGGATGGACCCTGAGCCTCAGAGGCCCCCGGGCCTGAGGTTCCCCACCCCTGCTTTGTACTAGGGCCTACTTTTCATTCTTATTTAGGGCACTTATGTACAATAAGTTATGATGGGTCTCAGCTTAAAATAACCTCTAAAAAGTCCCTGTTGGCATGACATGACATACATTTCTCTTCAGGGACAGAGGTTAATACTAGAGTATCTTGGAAATCAGTATGAGATCTAATTATATTCTGTAGCCTGAGTGGCTTAAATCTTCATACCTACATTGATCCAAATGAAGCTGTGTTAAGTTCTGCCAACTGATGATTTGGCCTGGTAGACACATTCATCAGTAACCTGGAATATGGAATGGGGAAGTAGCAAAAGCTGCTGTGAAATATTTATGTTGGTGAAGGATTGTGAAGAATAGCAAAGTGAATTTAAAAAGCTTAATGGGAACCCAGAATGGCAAAACAAAATAGCAAATGTGAATTAACAGACACCGAGAGGAACATTGTAAGCTGCTCACTTAGAACAGTGGGTCTGAAGTAAATTATCTGACATGCAGAGGATGTTGTTTAACAACTCTGGGCACTGAATAATCTTTGTATTGCCATGAGTCAGGGGTAGGGAACCTCAGGCCCACAGCTTGCCTCACCTGGCCCTTGAGGCTCAGAGTCCCCCCCTCTCCTGGCATTGGGGAGGCAGGCCTGGCGCTCCAGGCCCCCTGATGCCCCACCTCAAAGCTGGAGCACATAAAATCTACTAGGCTGGGTCTCCTAAACTCTGGGGTGTGAGGAGAATGTGGGGAGTATCTTTCTCCTTCTCAGTTGGGGGCCAGGTCAGTGAGGGGTCATTTGGGTTTTTTGCTTCTCAGTGTGGGCCCCCAAATGATTTTTTTGTGGCCCCTGACCAAAAAGATTCCCCACACCTGCCATAAGTGAACAAAATGTTTTGTAGAGAAATAGAAAAGCAAAGTTTCCGTCTCACCTAGTTTATATTCCAAATTAGACAGATAATTAAGGACAGTGCATCAGGAAAGGCAAACATCTGAGGCGGGGAAGGGAAAAGTTCATCAGTGCCAGGGGAAGACTGCAGTTTCCTTTTTGCCGGACAGATATGCTGTTGGTGTTTGTGTTGCATTTGAGGGTGTCAAGGCTGTTCCAATGAATGCAGAAGTTGGGGGCCTGCAAGAGCACTCCAGAACCTTGCCTTTACAGGCTCTGGTACAAAAACTTCCCCCCACAAAATCCTAATACCCAGATTTTGAGGAACTTGCTGCCACCACCCAAGTAATTCCAAGAAAATCAGGGAAGAGATCACTTGAGAAGTCCCCCCCGCCACTCCAACCTCCGTTTTGCTTGGAGTTGGGAAGAACAGAGGGAATCCACAGACAACAATGGACTCTGCCCTGGTAACTAGGCACACAACAATCAACCAATACTAGTTAATTTTTAAAAAAGAAACAATCTTTTACTATCGAAACAAAACTACAGCAAGCACAGTAAATTGGTTAGGTGGAAAGAGCCACCATTGGTATTGATACTCAGGGAAAGCCCCTGGGCTGAAGACTTAATTACAAAAGAAAAAAAAAAACAATTAGTAAGCTAAGACATTATTTCCAAACCCCCAAACAAAGAAAATAAAAACCCTTGATGGACTACACGTTTTTCCATACTTGGAGAGAGAAGCGTCTCTCCTATTTCCCTCAATAGCTGGGAGAAACTGTCCTGAGTCTCAAACAAGAGACAGAAAACCCCCTTTTCCTGTTTGAAATTCCTACCTGCATTGTTATTGGCTGACCACCCGATACCTTGGCTAGGAGACATTAGTTAACCCCTTAGTCACCGGGTGCTGGTCAGCACTCCTGTCAGCACGACAGGAGATTTCGGTATTGTTTTTTGCCCAAATATAATTAGGGGCGAAAGAGAAAATGCATAGCACCAGAGGGGAGATAAGCAGCAGAATAAAAGACAAAGGGAAGTGACTTTTAAGAAAGGCTCTGAAAGCAGAGAGCCTATTTAAATACATTGTGTGTCATATGTAAAATGATATGTTTATTTTGGCACATAATAGGCATGCCAATTAAAAAGACTTTTTCTTCTTTTCTAGAATTGCTGCTTTGCACCAAGGTTGGACATTTTCAAATTACTAACTACAAATGAACATAGTGTCTTTCAACCAGCCCCATGATATTATCTGCGGAGTCTACTTCATCACATCCCATGCTTTACCAGCTGTATAATTTAAATATAAATCCTTGGGAACATAATGTACTAATTTCTAAGCAAGTTGTAGTTTAACAACAAATCCAGTTCAGTTGCAATGAATAAAAAACTCAGGTCATATTTTATAGTTAACTAATCTGCATTCCAATAGAATGGGAATATGGTTTGGGTCAGAAGGTACCTGAATTTCTCTTCTCTCTGTTCTTGTATGTTGCAGTGCTTGTGAGATTTTTGCTGTCACTTGCCTGATAGTCATTTAAGACACCTGCATCATAACCCTAAAGAACATTTCATCGTTGCATTGACTGCTGTGTTCAGTCTTGCCTGTCTTCCAATCTTGTGTTTTTTAGCTGTACACCTCTAATCCCTGCTCTCTTTTACATGCCTTCTCCCCTATCTCAAATACCCCAGGACCTTTTAACCTAACAGAGATAGATTCACCTTACTGCTTAGCCCATAGCAGGGCCCTGCTGCAACTGTTTGTGCACAGAAATGTGCTTTGTTTCATTTTAAACTAATCAGAACTTTACAATCTCTTCCCCTAACAGGGAGGATAGGTGTCTGCGGGGGAGGAGAAACAATGGAAGCTGCAATATGAGTATTTCTAGACAGGAGTTTGAATCAATGCCAAAGATACAAGCAGCCCTGAAATACAGAGTGTTTTGGAACCTACCCAGCTGTGTTGATAAATACCAGCCTAAGCCACAAAGCCCTTTGGCTAAGCACTAGAGTTTGACAAAGTGGGCCCATTTAGTCCTGATCATTCACAGGGCACTGCAAATCCCTTTTCCATTCGGCCAGGTTCACATCCCTTTTTTTTCCCTTTTCCAAGAACAGGGTTTCATTGGCATGGAAGGAGGGGACACGGCTGTTATCTTTGCACATAATCGAATGTCCACGTAACCATGACTATTTGTGCCCAAAGTACCTTCTGTCTGCTTAGAAGGATTCCAGTCAACCAATCAGGAGATGTAGCAATACCATGTAATTTTTTATAACCAATTTGTAATAAAAACCACCATGGTAAATAATTCACAATTTATTTTAAAAAAAATCAAAGCCTGCTTGCAGATAATTTGCCAAGAGGTGTAAAAAGCACCTCAGCTATTGGCAATGCACACACACTTAGAAGCATCTGCTTTCTGGCTGTTGAGCTCCTGGATGGAGGGGATCCCTTATAAAGGAGAGACCTTCCAACCAGAGCCAGTCTTAAGGGTGGGCGAGCCGGGCGGTCGCCCAGGGCCGCCATTTTCTTGCCTGTTCATCACCAGTCACTTTGTAGTGTGAGAAAGCAGAGCCAGTCTTAGCTACAGGCAAGCCAGGTGGTTGCCTGGGGCCGCCAATTGGTTAGGACAGGCTCTGCTTCCAACATCCTCCAGGCACCAATCCCTGGAAAATCCTTCTCACTAAAGATCACTAAGTTTAAAAGTCCAGGCAGTCCTCAAAAGGTGCCTTTTGTTGTTGTTGAGGGGTGAGGGATTAGCCATGAGAACTTGCAAAAGCCTCCCTTCATCCAGGCCCCACACAACAATATCAAACATATTCCCAGCTTGTTCCCCCTTGCATCTAGACCAGGCGTGGGCAAAATACAGCCCGTGGGCTGGATACAGCCCACCAAGCCACCAGATACAGCCCATGGAGGCAGCAGGGAGCCCCAGGCAGGCTCCCCAGCTTGCCCCGCAGCCCTGTACGCCATTTCTGTTTTAAACCTGGAGGGGAGGGGGGAAGTTTTAGGAGCCACCCCACCCCAGCACATTCCCATTGGCCGGTTTCTGACAGAAACCGGCCAATGTGAGCTGCTTGTTAGAATAACAGCCAGTTAAGAAGAATCACGCCCCCTCCCCTGGGCTCAGTTAGTCATGAAGCACATGGCCAGGCTGGATGGGAAACATTTAAGCTCTGCAGGTAGGCAGGCTAGTTTGGAAGCTGGCAAGTAAGTCTCTTGGCTACAGGCTGCTTCTGGCACCCCAGCTCTTTCCTGCTCCAACTCTCTGCCCCCGCCCATTCGACATACCCAAATCCTCTGACCCCTTCTTACTCCCATACCCCCTCCCAGAACTGGCATCCCAATCTCCTGGCATCACAAGCCTCTTCTACCCTAGGTCACATTCCAAACCTCTGCACTCTGGTCCCCTGTCCTGGATCACAACCACCTGCTTCATCCCAACTCCTTCCCAGACTCCAGTCTCCATCCTGCACCCCAAGCTCTCTTCTTCACCCAACCTCCATCCCAGATCCCGCATCTCCATTAATATCATGGAAGAGTGAGGCCCTCGACCACTTTCCAAAATCTTGGAGTGCCCCCCCATCAAAAATGATTGCCCACCCCTGATCTAGATAATCCTTCCTTCCAGCTCCCTAGATCATAGAAGGCTCAAAAAGCCAGCTTCACACACAGACCATTCTGCATCTCCCTGTCAGAAGAGGAGGAATTTACCTGCGCTGTCTGCACCATGTGCTTCCTTCCTGTCGCAGAAGTGAAGTGCATCTGTTCTCAGTCGCACTCCAGATATGAGCAGCAACAGCAAGGAGGAGGTGTGAGATAGAAGGTAAGGGGAGGAGCAGAGCAGGGTGGTGACTCTTAGGATGCTCCACCCTAAATGTCTTCAAATCAGATCAAAAAAGGTCTGAGTCAACCATTTTTCACAATTATTGACACCTGTTTGTTGCTGTATTCCCTAAGGAAAATTAATGGTTTTCCAGAATTTCACCATGAAATTAAAAACAAACAAACCTCAACACTAGTTTTTATTACCAGGCTTGTTCAGATTAGGTCACGTTCAGATTTTGATGATTGAAGAAGGCCTGGTAAGAATCCTGGCTAACCAAGTTTGTTGCTCTTTAAAGGTCTGGGAGTTACAAGTCAGAACCTCACAAAACCTCGTAGGTGTGAAATTCTCAGTTATGTTAATACCCCATAGCATGGCTTTGACAGTGTGAAGCAGGTGTAACTGCCAGAAGGATGTAGGGGGATGGGGGCATGGGTTAGCATAACTGAGAATTCAAGCCATGGGTTTCATAAGCTGAAGCAGAGAACTTGTGAAATCTCCTGCTATCATAAATAAAACACTCATTCACGTCTATGAAGATTCGATTATAAGATCTCTTAATCTACTTCTGAGCACTCATTTCTTTCATCTAGCATTCTGCCACTAACCCTCCACTGAACAGCTGCTCAGTATCGTCATACTCCTATTAAATAAATAGGACAAGCCACTATAGCTACTGCAGTTCAGGGCATGATGAATTCTCTACACAAGGGAGGCTGACCAGCTCTTTTAGCCTGAACCTGAGCGAAAACTCAGCATGGCAGAGAAAGGCAGGGGAAAACAAGGGGGAAATTAACAAGAAGCTTGAAAGAAAAACCCCATCCCTCATCTTCCCTGGTTTCAGCCAGGCTTAGCCTTTAAGACCCTGAGAGAGAGCTTGTATCTCCAGCACAGAGAATGCACAGTTTGGAGACTGGTGTATGGAGACACTCATGGGGAAAGGAATTATCTTCCAGCCCTGCTGTTTGGCAAAAGGGGCTTGCTAATTTCCGCTCAGAGTTGCCTCACCCCACCCCTCAAGTCACATAACTCCTCTGTGTCTCAGTTTCCCCTTCTATAGATAGTATGACCTACCTCTTACACAGCACTTTTTCAACAGACATCTCAAAACAATTTTACAAAGGGAGATCACAATGAACGGACTGCTGGGCCAGAAGGGACCCCTGTGTTCATTTGTGTGACACAGCTCAGAGAACTTCCCCGGAATAATTGCTAACACCCAAGCAGAATTGCCCTCACTGTTAACAAGGCGCACCGTATTCCTCACCTGAAATTGTCTACCTTTAATTTCCAACCATTGGATTGTGATGCATATTTCTCTGCTAGACTGAAGAGCCAGGGTGACTGACCACCCAGGTTTCTCATGAGTCTCCATAATGCCCCACACTACCACAGTGCCTTCCAGCTGTCTCATGCCCATTTAAAACATATTCAATTAATGAAGTGTCAGCTTCTCCTCCCCGAAATCAGGTGAGACCTAACACTATTTCACAGGTGGCAAACTTGAGGCTGACTCTCCCCTAGGGCAATGGAAATGGCAGACCTACCAGCTGGAAGGAAAAGAGATGCAGTAAGCAGCAGCCAGCTAGACATTTTCAGCCTTTAGGACAGTGGTCACCAACCAGTCGATCGGGATCTACTGGTCGATCTTGGAGCCTCTGACAGGTGATCTTGACTGGTTTGGCCAAGAGGCTGTCAAGTGCCGGCACTTCAACTGCCCCTCTCCCCACTGCTGTGCAGCTCCTGATCTTTGCCTTGGAGCTGCTTCTCCCACCCCTCGGAGCCTCCTGCTTGCTGTGCAGGGCAGGGAAGGGAGAAGGGGTGCTGGTGTCAAGGTGTCCCCTTTCCCACCCTGTGTCCTATCTCCACAGAGCAGAGAGGGGGCACAGCAGGACTTGGGTTGGAGTTTGCTGGCTGCTTTTGGGAGTGGTGCGTGGCCAGGGCAGGGGTGAGCCTGCCTTAGCTCCACTGCATCACTACCCAGGAGCTACCTGAGGTAAGGAGTGCCCAATCGGCCCACATCCTGAAACCCTACCCCAGTCATGAACCCTCTCCTGAATCCCAGGCTCCTGCCCCAGCCCCAAGAACCCCTGCATCCAAACACCTCCCAGAGCCTGCACCTAGAACCCCCTCTGGCAACCCAGCTGCCTGCCCCACGCTCAGCTCAGAGCCCCTCTCACATTCCAAATCCCTTAATCCAAGACCAGAGCCTGCACCCCCAAAACATTGCCCCTGCCTAGTGAAAGTGAGGGAGAATGGGGGAGGAAGGGAGAACGGAGCGAGCAGGGGCAGGGTCTCGGAGAAGGGCCACAAAGGAGGCAGGGCCAGGATATTTGGGATTGAGGTAGATCTTGGATTGCACTTAAATTAAAAAAGTGATCTGATACTTAAAAAGGTTGGAGACCCCTGCTTTAGGGGCTTTTCTCTGCCAAATTTAAAGAGCCACCAATGAGCAAAGCATGCTGGGAAAGGTTTCCATGTAAGGGTGATTCTGCAATGGTGCGTTTCAATCAGCTGTAAGGGGAGGAGGTGATGGAGGGCCTTTGTGGGAAAGGGACCTGACTTAACCAGTTTTCTTGGATTGGAGCAAGGTGTGTGAAAAGGCTCCACTTAAAAACAAAAACAAACAAATAAACAAAAAACCAACAAGGATGTTTCTGTAGTAAAACTAAATTGATGTTTTGACACCAGCTTGGTGCACTAGATAGACAATACCACCTCTATATTGCACCTGGTGATATTAATGCACATGTCCTTTGTCCTATACTGGTCAGTAACAAAATTGTGAATAAAAAAAACCAGGCTGAATTCACCTCTGGGGACAAGTCTGCTAAAATTTTATGCTGAACTCAATTCTCCTTCCTTTGTGAGATGATACTTGAAGTTAATGGGAAAAAATTTATTAGCCTACTTCACAGGGGAATTGGGAGGTAGAGTTCATTAAAAGTTTGCAAATGGCTTGAGTTCTGAAGATGGAAGGATTCTAGGGAAGTGTGAAATATTATTATTGCTAACAAAGGCATCACAAACAGGCAATATAATAGGTGAAACAAGTGGTTTGAGCATGAGAAGGTGTTTCCTACACTTGGATTTTAATCTTGTGTAAAAGGCTTCAGAGGAAGGCGTTGGTGGATCCTATCTTGAGTTGAGGACATGAAATTACTACTGTGTGACCTTTCTATGGTAATATTAGACTTGTTGCAACATTGTCTTCAGCTGGTTCAACAGCAAGTTTCCAACTTAATTGACTTTTTTTAGGTTAATACTGTTGAGATTGGAAAAGTGAGTCAGACTTAATGTGACTGATATTATCTTAAGAAAGATCAACAACAACATCATCAACATCTTCCTGCCCTACATTATCAGATTACTCACGTCCACAACAGGCACCTGTAGTAGCAAAAGCCATTGCTCTGGAATGTAATCTTACAGCAATCCCAATGTCAACTTCCCCAAGGGTCAGCCCTAGGACCAATCCTATTCAACTTATTCATAAGTGATCTAGAGAAAGGGGTAAGCAGTGAGGTGGCAAAGTTTGTGGATGATACTAAACTGTTCAAGATAGTCAGGACCAAAGCAGACTGTGAAGAACTTCAAAAAGATCTCACCAAACTGAGTGACTGGGCAACAAAATGGCAAATGAAATTTAATGTGGATAAGTGTAAAGTAATGCACATTGGAAAAATAACCCCAACTATACGTACAGTATGATGGGGGCTAATTCAGCTAGAACTAATCAGGAAAGAGATCTTGGAGTTATCGTGGATAGTTCTCTGAGAATGTCCACGCAGTGTGCAGTGGCAGTCAAAAAAGCAAATAGGATGCTAGGAATTATTAAAAAAGGGATAGAAAATAAGACAAAGAATATCTTACTGCCCCTGTATAAAACTATGGTACGCCCACATCCTGAATACTGTGTACAGATGTGGTTTCCTCACCTCAAAAAAGATATTTTGGTATTAGAAAAGGTTCAGAAAAGGGCAACTAAAATGATTAGGGGTTTGGAACGGGTCCCATATGAGGAGAGGCTAAAGAGACTGGGACTTTTCAGTTTAGAAAAGAGGAGACTGAGGGGGGATATGATAGAGGTCTATAAAATCATGAGTGGTGTGGAGAGGGCCGATAAAGAAAAGTTATTTATTAGTTCCCATAATAGAAGAACTAGAGGACACCAAATGAAATGAATGGGTAGCAGGTTTAAAACTAATAAAAGAAAGTTCTTCTTCACACAGCATGTAGTCAACCTGTGGAACTCCTTGCCAGAGGAGGCGGTGAAGGCTAGGACTATAATAGAGTTTAAAGAGAAGCTGGATAAATTCATGCCTCGCCTCTCCCGCCCTTCTGACTGTGGCGATGTGGTTAACTGCCACCCCTCGCCTCTCCCATCCTTCTAACCCCGGCCGCGGGATCGCGGGCCACTGGCTTACTGTCCTTGCAAGTGTCCACTACCAGGTTGCCCCCATGGGCCACTGCGACCTCAGTGTCCTGGTTTGGGCCCTGCCCGCTCGAGTTCTTGGTCGCGGCGGCGTCCCTCCGCTTCCTGCGGGCGTTCCTCCGCTGGCAGGACTTGTCCTCCAGTTACTGTTCTGGTCCAGAGCGATCTGCAACCCCTCCTGGAGTCCTCCTGCTGCCGCTTCCCCTGGGCTGCCTGCAAGGGGTGGGAGAACACCACCAGCCCCGGCTCCCTCTTTGCTCTCCCCCCCTCTGCCCTTGTCGCCGCCCTCTTGAATGCGCCCGGCGCGCCCCCGCCCGCCCGCCCCAGGCAGTGTGCCTGCAGCTGCAGCTCTGCGCTTGGCCAGTTGCCCCTCCCCGGCTTCCCCGGGGTGCTCAGTGGCGCATGCGCTGAGTGCTCCGGCTGCCAAGCAGCCGGCTTCCTCAGGGTGCTCGGTGGCTTCCCCACTGCGCGCCTCCATCAGACCACAGCTGTGAATGTGGGGAATGGTTTCCCCATCAC